GCCATGTGGGAGTGTCCAGTGCCTTAACCACCACGCCACCTGCTGGTCCCAATTATACAAATAAATATTTCTTTAAAAATTTTTATTTATTATCTTTTAACTTGCTATAGGGCATGTGTGCTCACCAGAAAGAGATAGAGTGAGAGAGAGAAAGAGAGAGAGAAGGGAAAGTGAGAAAGCAAGCTGCTAGGTCCAAGACTCAAACTACGGTCGATCATGTGGAAATACAGCATCCTAACCACCACACCACCTGCTGGTCCCAAGTCTCATAGTTTTTAAGTGACTTGACTAATAACCTTTATCACTAGATGGATGCTTTATACAGGAATAAACTGCTGCAGGAGCCCATTCATTTAATTTGAAGCAGCACGGACCATAAGACCTTACTGCAATGATCGAAATGTTCTATGCCTGCACTGTCCAACATGGAAGCCAGCAGCCGTGTGGTGACTGAGCACTTAAAATGTGGCTAGTGCAACCAAGGGTCAGGGTTTTCCCCAGATAAACCACCTGTGTTCACTTTCTGCTTTCATCTATGTGCCTCTCACCAGGATGTCTAAGAGGCACCTCAAAACTGCAATTGCCTCCAAAAAGTTCACTCCCAACTCCCTCACAGGTCCTACTTCAGAGGCACCAGCCCTTACAGCAAGTCCTCAAGCCAGGATCAACGTTACCATTCCAATTAATCTCCAAGTTATGCTAACTTGGAGTTTCTTTGTCCAAAAAAACTGCTTCACACTTCTGAGTTTACCAGAGTGCGAAAAAGCCTGACGGGAACTCCTACAGCACTGATGTGGCACAGCTCAAACTGCGTTAGCTTCTACTATATCTGCCAAACTCAAAGACATGAGGCTGGTTTTGTGTTTGAGTACCACCAAATGGTAAAGGTTGGTATTCTGAGGCCTTATAACTACAAACATTTCAATGGGTATTTGCCAATAAAGAAATGAACTGACTAAGTTCTGTGAGGGCCAGCCTTGGGGCACAGTGGTTAAGGGCTGTGTGGAGGGAGCTGGATCCCCACAAGGTTCACTACAGTTCAAAATCTGGCACTGGTAGTTTCAAAAACAGCATGTATATGTGTGTGCCTAAAATCCTGATGGGGGGGGGTGGCCAGCAGGTAGTATAGTGGTTAAGGTGCTGGATTCTCCAACATGGTTCAAGCCCTGGACCCAGTGGCTGGAAAATCATGCTGGGCACGTGTGTGTACATGCCTAAAATTCCAAGAGGAAAAATGGAGGAGAAGGGATTGCAGTGGGGCCTTCATTCCAAGGGATGATTCCTCACTTTCCCTCTCTCTCTGGTGAACACATGTGCCTGCCCTATGGCGAAAACCTTAAAAAACATCCTGGCCTGAGTCTGTTCCAACTCCTCCTAGGAAATCTAGTCAAATGACATATAGCCATCAAATAAATACATAAGTAAATAAATAAATAAAGTTAAATGAAAAATAATTTTAAAAAAAATCTTGATGGGACAGAGAAATGGAGGAAAGGGGATTGTGGTGTGGTAACATCCACTTGGGGATGTGTGTACATTCTTTCTCCCTCCCTCTCTGTGAGTCATCCATGAGCACTCTGGCAATACAAAGGAAAAAATAGTTCCCGTGAGTTTTCGTGGGCCTCTGTCACTGCAGGTGCAGTCACTCCCCTGGAAAGCCTTTGCCTAGTGCCTTAGCCCCAGGAACAATTTACTCCCTCTCTTTAAACTCCAAAGGTCTATGGCTTGTCTTCTCGATTAGTCTTTGTTTTTTATTTTTTTTTCTGTTTTCTTTTTTGTTTAAGAATTATTCATTTTATTTATTCATTCATTTATTTTAATTTGACCAGAGAGAGAGAGAAAGCAAGAAAGCAAGCCATCAGGTCTGGGACTCGAACCATAGTTGGCCATATGGGAGTGTCCAGTGCCTTGACCACCATGCCACCTGCTGGTCCCCCCACCTAGTCTCTGTGCTACCAAAGGATGAGGGTCCCTACATACACATTTTTGTATTCTCAGAGCCTTAGTACTATACATCACAGGTGCTCAATAAAACAGAAGACAAACCTATAGCATACCTGACTTCTTTGTATTCTGCTCCTCAACAAATTTTCTCTGTTCCTTCTGAAAATCTCCTATAATTGTCTGTTAAAAATACAAAAAGTCAAATTAAGCTGGAAAGTTTATTACTAGGTAAGAACTACATTCAAGATTTTTAAAAATATTTATTTATTTAATTTCATTTGTTATTATTATTTTTTTAACTTGACCAGAGAGAGAGAGAAAGGGAAAGTGAGAAAGCGAGCCACCAGGTCCAGGACTCAAACCGTGGTCGGCCATGTGGGAATACAGCACTTTTAACCACCATGCCTCCTGCCAGCCCTACATTCAAGATTTTAAAAGTCTATTTGAGACTATTTTATTCCTTTCATTTGAATAAAAAGGCTCAGAAAAGTGATACCCCCTCATTTCCCTAACAAAAGCAGATCTTTAGTTTTGAAATGTTACATATAAAACCTCCTTTATGACACACTGTCTCTTTAATCATAAAAGTAAAATGATTTAAAAACTGGATTTTTGTGGCCAGCAAATGGCATAGCGGTTACATTGCTGAACTTCCACATGGCCGATCACGGTTCAAGCTCCAGACCCAGTGGCTTCAGAATCATGCCAAGCGTGTGTGCATTTGTGTCCAAGATCCCGGGAAGAGAATGGAGAAGAGATTGGGGCATGGCCATCCACCCCTACGGGATGATTTCTCACTTTCCCTCTCACTGTCTCTGTCCTCCCACCCCTATCAGGGCACACACCCTAAGACAAAAACCTATACAAATAAAAACCCCAAAACAAAAAAACTGAACTTTGTGTTGTTCTATGAATAAAAGACAGGTTAAATGTCATGAGAACAAATAACATACATAACAATAATATTTAAATAACAGTATAGCCAAGGTTTAATTGATGATCTCCTTAGTTCAAATAATTACCAACATAAATGAAATTCCCCAGGCCCACACCTAGCACTGTCTAAAACAAACTGATTCCTTGTCTTTTTTTTTTTTTAAGAAGTTTTTGAAATAGGATGTGTGTGCTCAATGGAGAGAGAGACCAGACAGAGACAGTGAAAGTGAGCAGTTACCTCCCCAGGAGGATGGCCACACCATGGATCCCTTCTTCATTCTCCTCCTGGGATCTTGGGCACACATACCTATGTCCCAGCTTGATTTTCAAGCTACGGGGTCCTGGATTTGAACCAGAGTAGGCCATGTGGGAGTCCAGCCATGTGACTACTATGCCATGTGCTGGTCCCATTCCTTGTCTTAAAAAGGGAGTTGAAGAGACTTTAAAAACTTAACTAAAGGGGCCAGCAGGTGGCATGGTGGTTAAGGGTGCTGGAATCCCACATGGCTGACTGTGGTTTGAGTCTTGGACCTGGTGGTTTGTTTTCTCACTTTCCCTCTCTCTCTGTCCCTCTCTGGCCAAATTAAAATAAATAAGTAAATAAATAATGTTAAATAAAATAATTATTAAAAAAACTTAACCAAATAATGCAAAGGCATAAATATATCCTGAATTAAAGTTTAAAATTAAACTCAACATAAAAAGTTTAGTATAACCCCCAAAGTATCAATCTATTTCAGAGTATATTAAAATACACATTATTCAAATCAAGTAATTTTTTTTTTGGGGGGGGAGAGATTTTTGCTATAGGGCAAGTATGCTCGCCAGAAAGACAGAGAGAAACAGAGAGACAGAAAGCAAGAAATCACCCCCTGGGGGGATGGCCACACCGCAATCCCTTCTCTTCATTCTCCTCTCGGGATCTTGGGCACGCACGCACATTTGCACAGCTTGAATTTAAGCCACCAGGTCCAGGACTTGAACTGCAGTCAACTATATGGGAGTCCAGTGACATAGCCATTACGTCAACTGCTGGTCCCTTTTTTTTAGGATAGATTTTTGCTATAGAGTACGTGTGCTCACTGGAGAGACAGAGACAGAAAGTAAGATATCACTCCCCATGGGGGGTGGCCTTGCCACAGTCACTTCTCCTCCAGTCTCCTCTCAGGATTTTGGGCACACACACACACATGTGCCCAATGTGAGTTTTAAGTCACTGGGTCTGGAACTCAAACTGCGGTCAACTACGTGGGAGTCCAGAAACATAACCACTATACCATCTGCTGGTCCCTTAAATCAAGTAATTTTTCTTCTTTTTCTTTTTGAAGAATTATTTTGTTTATTGTTATTTATTTATTTATTCATTTACTTTAATTTGACCAGAAAGGAACAGAGTGAGAGTGAGAGAGAGAGAGAGAGAGAGAGAGAGAGAAAGCGAGAAAGCAAGCCACCAGGTCAGGAATTCAAACCACAGTTGGCCATGTGGGAGTCCAGCGTCCTTAACCACCAGGCCACCTGCCGCCTTGTAAACTTTCTTTTTAAAAGGGTTTTGCCTTAGGGCGTGTGTACTTGTGAGAGAGAAACAGACAGTGAGAGGGAAGGTGAGAAATCACTCTCAGGGGGGATGGCCATGTTGCAATCCTTTTTACTCCATTCTCCTCCTGGAATCTTGGGCATGCATGCACATGCACCTGGTGAGTTTCAAACCACCATGTCCAGGACTGGAACCACAGTTGGCCATGTGAGAGTTCAGCAATGTAGCTGCTATGCCATCTGCTGGTCCCTAAATTAAGTAACTTATGTCATAGCTACTTGTTATACAAAGAGGAGAAAAATCAAGAATCTCAACAAGATAATTTTGTTGGAGCATTATAATAATCTAGTTAGATTAAAAAAAATTTCTTGGGGCCAGCAGGTGATGTGGTAGATAAGGCACTAGACTCTCACATGGCTGACCACAGTTCAAGTCCCAGGCTGGGCAGTTTGAAAATCAAGACAAATAAATAAATGTTTATGGGGCCAACAGATGGTGTAGTCGTTTCTTCACTGGACTCCCACATGGCCGACCATGGTTTGAGTCTTGGACCCAGTGGCTTCAAAATTATGCCAGGCACGTGTGCTTATGTGCCCATGATCCCAGGAGGAGACTGGAAGAGAAGGTGTTGCACCATGGTCATCCTCCTGGAGGGGGGTGATTTCTCACTTTCCCTCTCACTATCTCCGTCTATCTCTTTCTGGTGAGTACACATGCCCTAAAGGCAAAAACCTCTTAAAAAATAAAAAGTTCTTAAGAGCCAGCAGGTGGTGTAGTTGTTAAGGTGTTGGATTCCCACATGGCTGACTGTAGTTCAAATTTTGGACCTGGTGGCTAAAATCATGCTGGGCACACGTGTGTGTATGCCCAAAATCCCGAGAGGAAAATGGAGAAGGGATTGCAGCATGGCCATCCGCCCAGGGGTGATTTCTCGCTTTTCCCTGTCTCTGATGAGCGCATGTGTCCTATGGTGAAAACCTAAAAAATAAAAAGTTCTTAAGCGATCACTTTGTTAGTTGCTAACTAATTTAATCAATTTCTACTTCCGAAAGGTATTTAAACGTACCTTATCGATGATGTCATCTATTTTTCCTTCTTCTACGGATTTCTTTATCGTTTGTGCTGTCTCAGCAACTGATTCAGTTATCCTTTTGGTGGCCGCACTTGCAAAGTTAAACAGATAGTCTGTAAAGAACAGAAGGAGTCCATTTGCCATTCAAGTACAATGCTGAATATATTTGGGATTTTTCCCTTAAAGAGATCTTGTAAGAATTAAAAATAATAGAGCAAATCCTTCATTAATTAAAGAAGGAAGGAGAAGCACAGCCACTTTCTTGGTGGCCTGGCCATCCGCACTGGGCCTTTACTCAGCTCTTTCAAAGACCATTAGCATACTGTCCCCAGTAAGCTGTTTTAAACTTTTCTTGCCCTTCTCAAATCTCTAATTCTGATTTATCTCAGTAAATAATCTCTCCTACTCCACAAAACCCAACAACGCTCCTTTATCCTTTCTTTCCTTTTTGGACCCCAAGTACCACACCTTTATTTTCTCTTCCTTCCCTTCTGTCCGAAGAAGGGAAAACAAGTCCTTTCCTTCTCAGATTAACTCATTCTATGATAAATCTGGGGGAATTATTTTAGAGAATTATTTATTCAATTTTATCATTTTAAAAAAAATTTGCTACAGGGCACATGTGTTCACCAGAAGGGGTGGAGGGGGAAGAGAGAGAGGGGGGAGAGGGAGACAGAGAGAGAGAGAGAGCGAGCACGTGTGCGCAAGCTGCCAGGTCTGGTGCTTGAACCATAGTTGGCCATGTGGGAGTTGAGCACCCCAACCATCACACTACCTGCCAGCCCCAAGCTAGGGAAAAAATTTTTAAATGGATTTTCCCATTAAAAAAAATAAACAATTTACTATTTTTTTCAATTTATTATTATTTTTTAATTTCACCAGAGAGAGACAGAGAGAGAAAGGGAAAGTGAGAAAGCAAGCCATCAGGTCTGAGACTTCAGCCATGTGGAAGTCCAGCACCCTCAACCACCATGCCACTTGCCGCCCCCCCCCATTTTTTTTTAGAATTATATTATTTAATTGTATTTATTTAATCATTCATTTTAATTTGACCAGAGAAGCATAGAGTAAAAGAGAGAGAGAGAGAAAGTCAGAATGCAAGCCACCAGGTCCAGGACTTAAACTGTGGTCAGCCATGTGGGAGTCCAGTGCCCTTAACCACCACACCACCTGCCAACCCCGTGGGGGAATTTCTAATAAACAGAAATCCTGGCAAATCCTAATAGAAATACAAATCCTTTCGGGACCAGCAGTTAGTGTAATGGCTATGTTGCTGGACTCCCACGTAGTCGACTGTGGTCCGAGTCCCGGACCCGGTGGCTTAAACTCATGCCGGGTGCGTGTGCGTGCGTGCCCAAGATGCTGAGAGAAAGGCAGAGAAGGGACTGTGGCGTGGCCATTCCTCCTGGGGGGTGATTTTTCGTCTGGTTTTTTTTTTTTTTTTTTCCTCACTTTCTGTCTTTCTCTGTCTTTCTGGCGAGTGCACGTGCCCTATAGCAAAAACCTCTCAAAAGAAAAAAAAAAGAATAAAAAGAAATACAAGTCCCTTTAAACCAGTAATACGGAGCAAATATATAGAACAAGTTAAAACTGGAACACACAACTTACACCTTTACAAAACACAACGTAAGCTCTCCGGAAGACTTGAAAGACACATGTGTCAGGCTCCACTGCACTATCAATAGAGGCCCATCTGTAGACACCTATCATTTCAAAGTTCACACTGCAGAATCCGGGTTGTAGGAGGAGACCCAAGACAGGTCTTGCAACTGTACCTGATGGAACATGCTCCTTGCAACCCACTCCTCAGGCAACTGGCCTCCTCATCTCAAAGGGAATATTCAGGCTAACAGGTCAAGCTTGCCTCTGTTTTTAGCACCTGTTGAAGGGCAGGAAGGGTCTCCGACAGAATGGCAGTGGGAGCTTGGCACCTCTGATTATACTCATTCTGTGGGTGGTATCTCTCCAGGGAGTCAGGCAGCTTGTATGGGCATCTGGGAACATGCAGTCCCACCTCCTTTACCATTAGACAGTCTTTCTCCTATTGTGTCTGATTTTATCTGCTGACCACCTCAACGCCCTGTTCTGACCGTAGCACAGGACGATCTCTGGATTTGTTCTCCCCTTCCTCCCCACTCTGTCTGCATCCATTTGACCACACAGAGATTATTTAGTACTTTCAAGGATGCCTCAAATATGTTCTTCTTTGGTTTGAAACACTTTTATCCGCCTTCCCTTTATCTGTCTAACTCTCAACAGCCCCTGGGTCTCTTCTCCTTGGGAAATGTTCTCTGGCTCCCTGACTAGAGTAGGTACTCCTGAAATGTGTTCTCTAAGCATTTGCTTAGCCTGGTCAACAATAGACAGGACGCTACCGATTTTTTGGTGAATGTCTTCTCAGTCAGACTGAAGGCCAGCTCTAAGCCCCGTCAGGGCAGGAACTGAGGTTGTCTGACTCACCATTTTATCCCCAGTGGGGACCAATAAGCACTAGTTGAATGGAGAATGGGGAGTAACATAATAAAGGTTAAGCTTTAGGAAAATCACTCATGTCTTTGGTTATGACTAATCCATATACACAGAGTGGTAAGATGAAATGGGTAGCAGTCACACTTTTTTATAAAACTATTCTTTGGAGAGGGCTGGCAAGTGGTGAGGAGGTTAAGGGCACTGGACTCCCACATGGCCAATCAAGGTTCGAGTCCCAGACTCAGTGGCTTGCCTTCTCACTTTCCCTCTCTTTCTCTGTCCCTCTCTGGTAAAATTTAAAAGATTAAAAATAAAAAGTAAGATAATTCTTAAAAACAAACAGACCTGGTGGCTTGCTTTCTCACTTCCCTCTACCCCCTTCTCTCTCTCTGTCCCTCTCTTGTCACATTAAGAGTAGAATAAATAAAGTTCAATAAAGTAATTATTAACTTGAACAGCAGTCGGCCATGTGGGAGTCCAGGGCCCTCAACCACCATGCCAACTGCTGGCCCCATTTAGCTATTTTTGACAGGCCATGATTTGCAATCCTACAGCAACTAAGATCACAGAGCACCTGGTATTTTCAGGTCGCCCAGGATCTGAACCTGGAGCCTATCCATATGGCTGACCCAAGTCCCCAAATTTTAATTTTATTTTAGGTCTTTTCCATAGGGCATGTACACTCTCCAGAGAGAGAGAGAGAGAGTAATCACTCCCCAGTGGGGATGGCCATGCTGTAATCCCTTTTCTTGTCAGAATTTTGGGCACACACACACAAGTGCCTGGTGTCATTTTCAAGCCATTGGGTATGGAACTCAAACCATGATTAGCTTAGTGGGAACCCAGAGCCTTAGCCACCGTACCACCTGCTGACTCAAACCCTCAGGTTTTTTTTTTTTTTAAAGAATGAGTTAATTGTATTTATTTATTCATTTATTTTAATTCAATCAAAGTCACACACACACACACACACACACACACACACACACACACACACACACAGAGAGAGAGGGAAAATGAGAAAGCAAGCCACCAGGTCCAGGACATGAACCATGGTCAGCCATGTGGGAGTCTAGTGCCTTAACCACCACACCACCTGCTGGTTCCCCCAAACCCTCAGTTTTAAGAAGTCACTTTTAATACTCCCCTAGCTCTCTATTTTCTGTGAAATCAAGTAAACAAGTGATTCCTTGCCTTTCATAACTTATTCCCACTTTCATCTCTCCCAACTACCTAATACAGACTCTGCTACAGTCAAATTCATCTCCTCACCTCTCCTGAGTATTCCAAGCTCATTCTTTGTTTCCTACATGGGAAAGAGCCATTACCTTTTCAGTGATTTTTATTGCATAGCACTGAAGTTTGATTTCTCTTGTGCACTATTTGAGGCCCTTAGGTTGAGATTATGTACTGTCATGATTTGAAAGTATGTCTGTTTTCTCTGCCCCTCCATCCTACAATACACTCTCTGAAGGTTAAGTCTCTTTTCATTCAAATGTGTTTCTTTATTCTCAGGTTTCTCTCCTCCCTTACTGTCCTCTACTTGTCCTTTAGCGGATTCCTAAAAAAATGCTTGCTAAGGGACCAGCAGATGGTGTAATGATTACATCATGGACTCCCACATGGCCAACTACGGTTTGAGTCCAAGACCTGGTAGCTTGAAACTCACCTTGGGTACATGTGCGTGCATGCCCCAAATTTCAAGAGAATGGAGGGGAAGGAATTGTGGCATGATCATCCCCTCTGGGGGGTGATTTTTCACTTTCTGTCTCTCTCTGGCAATCGCCCTACAGCAAAAACTTTCTCAAAAAAAAAAAAAAAGCTTGCCAAAGTCAATATCTACCTTTGCTGCAGTTCTCTCACTTTTAGTACTAGTCCTTAGGACCCATGTCCTCAGATACGCTTTCTTTGATTACATAAATGTGTCAAAGTCTCTCCAGGATCAGAATCACTACAGCATGTGTTTATATTTTTCATACCTATTATTTTCTCACCTCCCTAGACAGTAAATCTGGAAAGAACGTGGGCTTTGAAATGATATCTAGGTTCAAAGGTCCAAATTCCACTTCTATCACTTACTCTCAGTGTAACTTCGGCTCAGTATTTTTGGGTTTGTTCCCCAACCCGGAGGGTGGGGTGTGTGGGGGGGTGTGAGGGGTGTTTTACAGGTGAAATGAGAAAGCCTTCCTAAAACAGTACTGCAACACTGCAACTTGCATATAGCAGACAACTGGCCGCTCCTTTCCTGTCCTAAGAAGAAAGGTCTCATTGCAACAAAAAAGAAGAGACCATAATGGACGCATTCAGTAGCTGTCAATTTATTTCGGACAACACATTTTACCCGAAGGGTAAAAAGATACTTTCAAGAAACTCAAGGCCATCATCAATGTTCCCTGCCTCGGGGTGAGGGGGTGGGGGGGTAGTGAAAGTTGGCTGAACTTTAAAAAAAAAAAAAATTCCTTGTGAACCCGAGGACATCGGGCCCCATCGCTTTACTGCGATCTTGCTTCCAATGTTTACAAACTTTCCAGAGTGACATGTCACCAGGAACTTCAGGGACAGGACCTGACTGCTAGATGAAGCTTCGGCCTTGCTCAGATCGTCCCCAATATTCCGTCCTGGAGAGGACGGACAGACACACCTT